GCCCCACGGCACATCCTCAACCACAACCCTCTTCTTCTTCCCAAACCCCTTCTCATCATCTATATAACCAGCCCTCATCTCCTCACCACACCCTCACAACCACAAACCACACCCACTTATCCCCTCCCAAGAACTTCTTCTTCTTCAAGTTTTCATCTGGATTTTTCGATTGAACCCAACAACCAGGCCATCTTGTTGCAGAAAGAGGAAGGCGAGGAAGGCGAAGAAGGTGTTTGATAAGTTTTTCTCTTCGGGGGTAAAACCCAGGTTCGACGAGTTGTAGACATCACGGCTATACACGGAGTTCCTCGGCCGCTCATTCATGTCCGGGCTGTCCGACGAAAGGGTTGTGTAGTTGAAAGCAACCGTGGTGCTTTGCCTTCCGAAGGCGGTAGCCCCTCCGACCTTCTCTTTCTTGCTGGTGGTGGTTCTGCTTCCTCTCTTTTTTCCTTCTGCGTTTATTAGCTCCAGTTTCTGTTTAGATTTTTAAGATTTTTAGAGATTTTTTCCTCTTCTTCTTCTATAAAGCACGAGTAGATCGTATTGTTGTTGTTGTGGGGGGTTTAAGGTTGGTGGTGTTTGATTTTTACTGAGAAACAAAGAACAAAACGAAAAAGGAAAAAAAAAGGAGAGAGAATAATGATGTTGAGGATAAAGAGGGTTCCTACTGTAGTGTCGAATTACCAGAAAGATGAGGCGGAAGAGGGTGCTCGCCGCGTTGGGGGTTGTGGCCGCAACTGTCTTAATCAATGTTGCATTCCAGGTATTTGTTGGAACACCCTCTATTTAGACTTAGAATTAGAATTTGTTTTGTATGTCTTTGCAAGGCTCCTTATATATATTGTCAAGAAAATGGGTCAAATTTTGATATTTTTTGGGTGGGTTTTTAATTGGTTTTTGGCATTATTCTTGTCTGGGATTTTGTTTATCTATTTGGGGTTGGAGTAGGAAGGAGCAAAGGTCCTGTTATATTATAGGCTTTTGAGAAAATGTTGTTTAAGTTAGATTCTCACGGCTTTTTGGTATGGGCTTTAGTTGTGACTGGGTTTTGTACCAATTTGGGTTTTTGTAGGGGCAAAGCTTCCGTTGTATGCTTTCAAGAAGCTGAACAAGATTGATGGTGGCAAGGAGTTGCCCGGAAGTGAGAAAAGAGAGCCTCCCGTTGACTTTCTTGACTCACTGCTTCTTGGGGAGGTAAAATTATTGTTGGGAGATTAAGAAAGAATGTCCAGCTTTGTCTGTTCCCTCTTATATCTAACCATTGTTATGAATTAAAATTGTTTGCTACGTCTTATCAGTGGGAAGATCGCATGCAGAGAGGGCTGTTTCGTTATGACGTCACTGCCTGTGAAACCAAGGTATTCTGGGTTCCTCTACCATTTCCTCATATATGTTGTTTGTAAATTGGGATTCAAGCTGCAGACAATTTGCATATGCTTATTTGAGATATGGATTGATATTCCGGTGTAGGTGATCCCGGGGCAGTTTGGTTTCATAGCCCAGCTGAATGAGGGTCGCCACTTGAAGAAGAGACCAACTGAGTTCCGAGTTGATAAGGTCCTCCAGCCCTTTGATGGCAACAAGTTTAACTTCACCAAAGTTGGGCAAGAGGAGGTCCTCTTCCAGTTTGAAGCAAGCGAAGATGGTGAAGTTCAGTTTATCCCTAGTGCGCCCGTTGAGCCTGAAAATTCGCCCAGTGTTGTTGCCATCAATGTACGCTCTTTGTTCTTGTGCATTAGTTGTTCTTAACAGGTTATTTGAACAAAAAAGTTATATCATTTACCATCCACCATTCAACAGGTCAGTCCAATTGAATATGGACATGTGCTGTTGATTCCTCGTATTCTGGAGCGCTTGCCACAAAGGATTGACCATGAAAGCTTCTTGCTTGCACTTCACATGGCGGCAGAAGCAGGGAATCCCTACTTTCGATTGGGTTACAACAGCTTGGGTGCATTTGCTACCATCAATCACCTTCACTTCCAGGTTTCTAGCCGCATGCCTTTCTAGCGAGCTGGCCCTAAATATTAGATTCAGCTTCTGATATGGTTCACTGCTATTTGTAGTTATCATTCAACAATTAATACCTGTTTGATGATTTTTCTTTTTTGTATAGGCTTACTACTTGGCTGTAACCTTTCCCATTGAGAAGGCTCCTACCAAGAAAATCACTGTTTCAGGTGCTGGGGTGAAGGTCTCTGAGCTTCTGAACTATCCCGTCAGAGGTCTTGTCTTCGAGGGTGGAAATACTCTGCAAGATTTGTCAAACACTGTCTCTGATGCATGCATATGCCTTCAAGAGAACAACATACCGTACAATGTCCTTATCTCCGATTGTGGAAAGCGGATCTTTCTCCTGCCACAGGTATATATGGTTACGAAAACTCTAATGTTTTGTTAGCCATTTTTTCGCCTTGTTTTCATTACATAGGTTGTCTCACTCAACCTCATACACATGGTCTTATCAAACGCAGTGTTATGCTGAGAAACAAGCTCTTGGGGAAGTGAGAGCAGAGCTCCTGGATACTCAGGTGAATCCAGCTGTGTGGGAAATTAGTGGGCATATGGTGTTAAAGAGGAAAAAGGACTATGAAGAGGCGTCTGATGAAAATGCCTGGAAGCTCCTTGCAGAGGTCTCCCTTTCAGAAGAGAGGTTCCAAGAAGTGAATGCTCTTATTTTTGAGGCCATTGCTTGTGGTGATAATGGGAATGCAAATTTACTCGAGGATCTGGAAGTTGAGCCTCGTTCTCATGAAGAAGTCGGCACCATTAACACAAGCTCCCATGCTGCTATGGTGACTGGGACACAACAATGCCTTGTTCTGCAGTAATGAGCAGATTCATGGTGTTTTCCATGTGAATCTAGTATTGCAGTTTGCCATTTGGGTTTATGTCTGTACCTTATTGGATGCTATTCGATGCCTAAATAAGCAAAACTGGTTTTGCATTGTCAGCGTTATTGTTGCAGTTTCGTGTATGCTGCAGAACAACTTTGATCTATTTGTGTAGGGTGCTTTATGGGTGATGTAAAATACTATGTAGTGATTATTGTTGTGGATGAATAAATGTTATGTTTTGTAAAATACCTTGTTGCTTGTATTTTATATTTTTTGTTTTTCCCTTTCGTCATCCTCCTCTCTAGTGCTATTATATAAGGCCAGGCATTTCTTTGGGGTGATACAACTGTTATATACATGAGATGACCATAGCACTTGCAAATCCCATATCATTTTTCATTACACTGTTCCTCTGATTCGTTAAAGATAACTATATTTGAGAGGTGTAAATGAGCGGAGCCAAGCTGCGTTACCAAGTGCTCAAGTTTGCTGATAGCCCCAAAAATAGGGTATTCAAGCTAGCCCATCGGACTTTGGGCTATTTTTACAAGCCTAATGTCGGATTTGGGCTATTTTTACAAGCCTAATCTCGGATATTGGCTATTTTACAAGCCTAATCTCCAGGTCATCTCGTTTTAGAACGAGCTCAAGCTTAAGTTTGTCTCTCAACTTTGTCTTAAAATAAAACTATTTGAACAATAATAAAATAAATGGTCATTCCTTCGTTTCGGGGTTTTTAAAGGTAATGTTTTAATGAGGCCACACTTGTTGCATCACTGAAGTTCAGTTTTTATTTTTTGTATTCTGACGTTGTTGTTTCAATGAAGTTATTTTTCTCTGATAAAAAATAAAAAGGTAAAAATAAAAGGTCAAATTAGAAGACAGAAATTGTTATTTTCCCTTTTTATTTTTATTTCTATAGGACGAGAACTAGTCAAAGACCAGAAAACGACCATACACGAACAGGCCTCAGACCAGATATTCTGGTAACAGATGGTTTAATTGAGGCCCAAACTTAAGTGCAGGCCCATATTTGTAAGGCGGGTCGGCGAAAATTTGCGCTATGAAGCTGCAAAATCCAAGTTCTGATGCGTGAGACTTTGAGAAGAAGGGTGGCTAGAATCAGACAAGAAGATCCATTTGGAATCTCTCATTGTTTCATCGGCTTTGCTTCAATCGCTTGTAAGTGTCTCTCCTCCGCTCTATCAGCTCTTAGCTTTCTCATTGTTTTTATGTTTACGTTTATGCTCCGACCCTATATATATATATGTATTCAAAGGGAACCCAAGTAATAAAATTTGGGGCTTGAAGTGAAAGTGAATACCAGGTGTTCGATGAAATGCTTACATGAAGTGACGGGTATTACTCTGACAAATGTTTTGTGTTTTCAAGTTTTAGTTGTTAAGGAGAGTGGTTCCTCCACAATTGCATTTGATTTTTGGATACTATTTGGCTGTGAATTTGTAAAAGGTGATCTTTGGATAACTGAGAAGTGATGCTTTCAAATTGCAGATTACCCGAGGAGATGAAGAAAGGGTTGCACCCCCAGATGCAATGGATATCTTATGTGACCCAGAGTGGCAGATTGATGCACGTTATGATGACCAAAATCCACCATGTTGGTAAAGTCTACCACTTGAAGGCGAAACGGCAAATGACTGAGAACCTCGGGCAGGTTGCCAAGTTCAGGCAACGTTACGAGAAGACTGCTGCCCCGAAAGAGGAACCTTGATTGTCATTTTGGTGTGGATTTCAGATTTCAAAGGGTTTGAAATCTTAGGTACCTTTGTTTTAGAATAAATATGAACTTGTTTTGTGAACTTTTAAGCACTTGTTGCTGCTCTAGGTTTTGTTTAACTTTGAGAAAGAAGTTTCTGTTCTGATCATGGTTTTTATGTTAACCACAGTTGATATTTTTCTTGGGAGTATTATTGATCTGGGTCTGGAGTTAGATTTCTTGCCACTCTTTGCTACTTTGCTTCTACAATTCTACGAAACTCATTCTTGTGATGCCACTTAGAAGTGGTCGAAGCCAACATTAACTAAAGAGAACTAAGAAGCCTACCCAGTATCTCACAAATGCTTCGATTGAGATTCTTTAGTTTTAATATCTGCACCTTTGAAATTTGGATGTAGAATTCCATTTGCTTTTTGTAGAATTCTTGATGTTTGGAGGAATTTTTCCTTACAAAAGAAGTAGCATTTACACTATTATCTACTAAACACGCTACTCAGTGTAGTTTACATGGCAATTAACGGTGTATTCATGTAAATCAAGAGAACTTGTGTGGGTCTGTCTTACACATACATGGCATTCTTTGCGTGGGGGGTCGTACCACGCCAGTATGATTCCGTGGTATGACCGTCCTTAAGAAAAATTTCTCAAAAATTTAATTACAGCCGAAGTGAGACCCAAAATATAACATCTAGACCTGCCAGGATTGCTTCATCTCTAAAAAAAAAATCTTCAGATTCTCTTCCTATTGTCCACCCGCGGTTTCTTGGATGCATGCCCATCTTGCAGGTGCTCACTACTTGATTGAATCTGGTAGACGAGAAAAAATGTATTACATCTAACAGACCCTGGAAGCTCTATGAAAAAATACGTGCTATTGAGAGGTTATCACCTTATTGAGCTTCTCCCTCACCATCTGGACGGTCTGATTCATTGATTGGGAAGCAAAATACTCCTTGAAGATTCAATTAAAATGTTAGTGTAGGCAATTAACAAGCAACTTCAAAAAAATTAATGTGGACCAATCGACCATAACAGCATCCAAAACCCCCCTTAATCTAGAAATGAAAAACCAATTAATAAACACATGCTTTGGACTTAAATTAGCCTTCATTTTGACCAGACCACCCCAGGTCCCCAAATGCAAAATGCCAATAGAAAATACAGGCTACCTTATTATATATTATAATATGAAAAAAAGCTACTAGTCACAATTGTGCCAGAAGACAATCCCATTACAAAAATAGCATAAGAGGTATTAACATTTGAAAACAATAACAAACCTTGTCAGAGGAAATCCTTGAAAGAGGAGGATTGTTAACGTGCGAAGTAAGTTGTGATTCTCCGGAGTCCCTAAACAGAAAGGAAATGGAATCCAGCATACCAAGTTTCAAATGTTCAAATAAAAAAAAGAAATTTAGAGAATACTAGGAGTTGGTGAATTTAAAGAGCGAAGTACCTCCGACTAGAGTTTACAAGTTGGGGAATGCAGTTAGGATGAGAAGGAATTGCACCAAAAGAAGAGGCAGTCAACGCAGGTGATTTATTAGCTGTAGACCCCTTAGATCTTCCAGCTGATATCATAAATAAGTAAATAAATCATATTTCTGAGAGATTTAGTAAGTTTAAACCAATGGGTCACATCACTATACAAATGAACTTACGGTTCAATCGCCCTAGAACTTCCCTTGTCCTGCCTTCCAGCTTGTCCTTTGTTTCGGCAAGGCTCTCAAATTCAGGAGCATATGAAACCTTAAGTTGATTCCCTAGGAAAACATACTCATCCAATTTCCTCTTTGCAAACCTAAAATGTCAATACCAATATGGTCTGGTACTTAGCTCTATGCTTTATTATTTATTAACCAGTTAAGCATATGATATAATCACCTGGCATTGCTGACCAGACGAAACTTTATCCAATAAACATCAGTGAATGGCTCACAATCTTCTTCATCCATTGGTTTACACCTGAATATGGTAAACAACCATAGTTACAATGATTTTAGGATAACAGTTTGCAGTTGGATTATTGAAAAATAAAATCTAGAACAACAAAGGAAAGTAAAGTACTCTTCTACTTCTCCGTAGGACGCAAACAATTTTAACAGCTCAGCACTGCATCCCAAAGCTGGAACATTCCTCACAATCAAATACCTGCCACAAAATAAATATAAATAAAGCATAAAATGTTGAAAACAAAACAGAAATAAGCACCGATAAAGAGACCTTGATTCGTCGCAGACTGTGTAAACGCGAATTGCAGTAGGTTCATCTTTGTATCGAGGCATTGTGTTCCAACAAAACCCGAAGAGAGTAACTACCAAATACTCGTGTCTATGAATTGAAGGAACAGAGGCTGCGATTAAGGTGCCTCTGTGTATTATTGTTGATTCTGCTCCTCAAACATTTTTCTGGTCCTCAAACAAAACAAAACAAAACAAAAATTATTGTATTACTTTCACAAACATAAAGACGCACATATACACAACTCACCCAAACAAGCTACTGCCAATATGCCAAACAGACAAGTATACTTGTAAACTTGGAGATGGCTATCCCACTTAAGTTATAATTCAACCTTTGAAACCTAAGATTTTCAATTAGGTAGTCAAGAAACCATTTGCTTTGGTCTCTCTGAAATCAAAGACTGGTTTTTCTTGCACAGAGTAACAACTCTCCCAGTATAGATGCCTAGTTAAGCAATTCAGAAATGGCCCATTTAATATTCTTTAGGAAGTGATAAGAGAGCAGTTGCTGCAGCTCATGTGGATAGAAAACTAAGCATATAAAATTTCACCCAGTGCCTGCAGTGATATGGTTTGTAACAGATGATATACCATTTATTCGTCCCATGATTCCAACTTGATCAAATATGTTGAGGTAAAATCCTAACGTTTCTGTATTTTTTCATGAAACCCTAATGCCAATTAAAGCTTAGAACAACTGTTCTAACCTATAAAAATACAGCAAGAATTTAAGACAAAAAAACTCCAATACTTCCAGGTCACAAACTCATTGTTCTGCTGGAAAATGCAAGTTTCCTTTTCACACACTGGTTTAACTTCAAAAAATCACTAAAATGCATTTCAAAATGTTTTTGAGTAAAAGCAGTTCCAATTTCCAAAACAATATTGAAGACTCCAATTCACCATAGTTAGAAAATGACCATGAGGGGTAGATTGACTCAATACTCAAAAGAAACCCCCAGTCATCAAACATTCCAACATAAATTTCATTTTTGATTTTGCTAACCATAACTTTCAAAGCAAAACATAACATGACTACAGTACCATAACCAAAAAAATTGTAAGGAGAGAATTAATCAAGAGATAATTTGTAAAACCAGAAAACAAGTTTCCGGGCATGAAATTTTCATACCTCAAATTGAAGGCGGTGTCTTTTGATTGGAAAAGCAAAGGTGGTGTCCAGTTATCCAAAACTTGATTCTTGATAAATTGTGCTTGTTTGTTTGATCTTAAAAATCAGAACGAGGCATATTCAGGTGTCATGTCAAGTTTAACACACATGTACATGCATACAAAAATACCCCACATTCAGATTTCATGTGTAGCTCACTCCTCTCTTCAGACTTTCTGATATCCTTAGTTTCTAACTCTAAGAGGAATTTTCACAAACATCTAATTGGCAAGCTCCAACTACTTTTAAAACGCAGGATGTCTATTTAACAGAATAATTCATGATTTTTATCTGGCAATGGAGAAACTCACATGCAAAACTTATAAAACCAAATTAACGTAAATTTAACAAACCATGCGCTTGTAATTATCAATCCGAATTCACTTGAAACCAAATTAAGTTCCTTTGTTTCTTCATATGGACTGGAAATTAGAAGAGAAACTCACCTATTTAGCTCTCTGTGTTGAATTTGCATAATTGCGTAAGGACCAGGCTTAGTTCCCTTTAAGCATTAAGCTTCGTACCCTTCGTTTCGGTTTGCATGTAAAGAACGACAGCGTTTCGTTGCAGAAGTTTTCGGTTTGGTGATGAAGAACAGAGAGCGAGAGATGAAGGCTACGTCAATTTTAAAGTTTTGACCCAATGAAATGACAAAAATGCCCCTCGTTAGTAAAGCATCGACAAAACCCCAGATCCTCGCGCGCTGCTGCGATCGTTTCTTCAGTTAGGGTTTCTCTAAACCTCAAGCTCAATTGAACCAAAAAAAAAAGAAAAAATCCTCAAGCGCAGCTCAGGTCAGCTCACTCTCTGCAAATCCATGGATTCCGACGGTGGAGAAGCTTCTAGGATTCTTCTCCAACTCGAAACCTTGAAGTCCAGTAAGAGCGAAATAGAGCGCCAAATCTCAGCCCTCGAAGCTCAGCTCCAAGAGATTAACCTGCAGCATCCAAACGCTACCGTTCCAAATGGCTCTTGTCCTCCTGTAATCCCGTCCGTTGATTCGGGTTACGGTCACGATTTGTCGCCTCAGATGATTTACCGCTACAGTCGCCACCTCTTGCTCCCTGCCTTCGGAGTCCAAGGTATAATTATATAGAAGTCTGTGTTTGTATGTGTATTATGCATGCATTTATATGTATAATGTACGTATGCTTGTATAGTACAAAGTTTAAGAATTGTTGACAATAGCTCACTTCTAGTAGTAATTAATGAATGATTGCTTTTTTGGTTTTAGTAATTAAAAAAAAGAACTTATTTTCTTGTGCAGTAAATAAAATTGGAGGCATTGGAATGCAAGAATTATTATTGAGCTTTGTAATTCATATAACATATATGTGAAATATAAATTGGTTTTGTTTCTTCTGTAATTGCTGAGGTTTTATGTCATTTATAATTGAAATTTAATGTTTTTGTTGGATTAGGGCAATCAAAGTTGTTAAAGTCGTCGGTTTTGGTGGTCGGAGCCGGAGGGTTGGGCTCGCCTGCTCTGCTATATCTTGCAGCTTGTGGTGTTGGTAATGTTTCCACCTAATTGGGATTTTGATAATGCCTATTATAAGAATATGGTATTTATAATAATTTGATACCATGGAACTGAGATTTTGGAAACTCAATATTTGTATGGGATTGCATCTTTAGGCCGCTTGGGGATTGTTGATCATGATGTGGTTGAGCTCAATAATATGCACAGGCAGGTACAAGTTAGAAAATGTGCTCCTACTATTATTCTCATATTGTTTGACTTTACTGTTGCTATGTACACAATTCATGGTTTTCATAGCAATGCTGATTGGTAAGACTAAGTTAAAATTACTATTATAATGCACAGATCACAGTGTGTTTTGTTGTGGTGTGCTTGTGTGTGTGTGAAAGTATGTGGATATATGTTAACTTTGGATTAACTAACTTTTTCTATTGCCTATTGAATTTTAGATTATCCACACTGAAGATTTTATTGGTCAGCCAAAAGTTAGATCTGCTGCTACTGCTTGTCGTTCGTATGTTTCTCCTTTCGTATTATTTCTCTGTGTTTAAAAATAGGAATTTATTGGAGTTGTATTGCATATGATATACTGACCTTTGATATCTGTGAGAATTTTCTGTTTTAGTGTATTTATTTTGGTTCTTTCTAATATGTGGATTTGTCTCCCAGGATTAACTCCACTATTCAGGTTGTGGAATACCAAGAACCTTTACGTACATCCAATGCCTTGGAAATCTTGAGCAAGTATCCTTGAAATTTTGCAATTATTTAATTATATTTCCCTTTATCATAATCTGGAGATATAGTTTCAAAATTTTTTTTTTGGGGTCCAAAATTGTTGAAACATTGTGTCATCCTTGACTGTTGACATCTCTAAGATATGATATAATAGTAGATGCAACAGACAATGCTCCTAGCCGTTACATGATTAGCGATTGCTGTGTGGTGTTAGGGAAGGTAAATTGGCTCATTGTGATGATCTTACAAATGCTCTATGTGTTATCTTTTTCTTTACCTATTTGGTTTGGGTAAATGAACCATTTTCTACTTTAGATGACATCCATTGCACGTGGGAAGGATGCATGTTTAAGATCCCCGAAGTGGAAGAACTCACATTTATGTTCCCCTTGCTCCCACAAAAGTTTAATGAGGGGAAAAAAGACAGGAAAGGAAAAATAGAATTGATGAGTTGCAGCTGTAATAGCTCTTAGTCATTATGACTATAATGACAAATCCACATTACATTCAAGTGAAATAATAATAAGTATATTGTATTGTGTTTGAGTTTGTGACTTCAATATGTGGTTCTCAGGGTTGCCTTGGGCATTTAAAATGTTACCATATCATAGTTTTGATATATGTAGTATATATGTTTGTATAAATTTATAGGCTGTTCTTGTATTGCTTAACATGAAAGAAAACGTTTCTTGAGTTCGTGACTTCAATATATGTTGCTCAAGGGTGCCTTGGGTATTTATGATTGTTACCATATCATAGCTTTGTATAAATGTATTTGCATATATAAGCATTGTTTTTTTTAAATGAATACTGTTATTGTGTTGTTATTACTTGAAACAAAATATTTTCCTTCCATTTTACTGATTTTCTCCACTTAAGTACTAATTGGTCCTATGTGCATTCTCGCAGCCTCTTGTATCTGGTGCTGCTGTGGGATTGGAAGGGCAGGTACATTGTGTAGAAACTTTTTGGGTCCTTAGATCTTGAATCATATGATTTTCCATATATGACGTGGTAGAAATTGTCCTTTTCAGCATTTTATCATGTTAAAGATTCCAAGTATTTACTCCAAATATATTTGTGTAGCTCACAGTTTTCAATTACAATGGCGGCCCATGCTATCGTTGCCTATTTCCAACTCCACCGCCTGCAACAGCATGTCAAAGATGTTCTGACAGTGGCGTCCTAGGTGTAGGTAAGTCAATGCTTGTTTTCATTCAAAGGTTATGGAATATAACTGCTGCAAAACTACCTATTAATATTCCGAGTCTGCTGCAGCCCAAAATGAAAAATTTTACAGAGACATAATAGCTTGATGACTTGCATAGTAGTTTAAGAGGAAAATTATGTAATTAGAAGTTTCACCATTTATTTCTTGTTTGATTTTAGAATATGTCCCTTAGTTTTAATTCCTTGCGTGGGAAACCACTCCATGTTTCTTACTTCTACTTAATTATTTTCAGTTCCCGGTGTTATCGGCTGTCTCCAAGCCCTAGAAGCTATTAAGATTGCAAGTGAAATTGGTGAAGCACTCTCAGAAAGGATGCTTTTATTTGATGCATTGTCAGGACGGATACGAATGGTATGCTTCGTCTTGATACCATTGAAATCCAGTAGCTGACATTACTTCCAGCTGTGATTCTTAGACTGAAGTTTGCTTTGATATTATGAATTCTTAGAATAAGAATTATTGAAACCAGAGCGGCTTTGCACAGACATATGAAGTTCACTTTCTTCCTCCTCTAAGTGGCCTCAGTATGTTCTTTATTTAGGCTTTTGGTCCAGTGGCCCACCTACACAACCAGGGATCCTCCCCTTGCCCTAAACACCGCTCCATTCTTTAGAGATTCGATTGCTTACTCCCTTACAAGTTGAATCTCCCTCAAAATAAGGACATCATCCCACTACCCTGGACCTCTTATTTCTTTCAGAACTGAGGATGAATAATTAATGTTAGAGCAACATTTCACGTTTATTAGATTCAGCATTGTTATGTGGGTGTGCATTTTAAAAAATTTGTTCTTTCATTGCAGGTTAAGATTCGGGGAAGGTCATTGCAATGCGTAGCTTGTGGTGAAAATGCACCATTCTCTAAGCAGCAGTTTCAGGAATTTGATTATGAGAAGTTCACTCAGTCTCCACTGACTCCGGTATATATCTTCTGTCTCATAATTTTTGCTTTAATAGGATTTCATAGTATCTGATTGTTACATGTATAATAGGACACTTTTTTTTTTCAACAAGTAAATAGGATGAGTATTTGCTTTCCTGGTAACAATCTGGCTTTCCAATCAATGCAGTTACCTTTGAAGTTAAAGCTACTTCAGGCAGCCTCCAGAATAAATAGTAAAGAGTACAAGGAGAAACTTGTTAGCGGGGAAGCACATGTGTTGATTGATGTTCGTCCAGAACATCACTTCAAAATTGTTTCTCTGCCCAATTCCTTAAATATCCCGCTCCCGAGTTTGGAGTCTCGGTTGCCTGAAATCTCTTCAGCCCTAAAGGAAAAAGAAGAGCATCAAGGTACTGACTCTGGTTCGGGTGGGCGATTATATGTAATATGCAGAAGGGGTAATGATTCTCAGAGGGCTGTTCAGTTTCTCCACAAGATGGGTTTCACGTCGGCCAGAGACATCATTGGGGGACTGGAAGGTTGGGCCCATGATGTGGATCCAAACGTCCCTACATATTAGCATAGTTAGTTTTGGCACTGGTGTGAACTGTATACCTTTCTGTCTGAGTGTGAACTGTATACCTTTCTGTCTTGAGTGAACTGTATACGTCGTAAGTTACAATCTATTTATTACGAGTATTAGGATTGCATTTTCATGTATGCATACACAAAAGAGGTAATTCTATTGAAGATGTTATTCCTTTTAAGAAAGACCGTTTTATCATCCATTGACGGTTTGTGCTGCTCTCGTTCTCTACAAACATGCATGCTTTACATTCTGGTACTCAATAATTCCATTGCCTTTGATGGAATCTGTTTAAATTTTTGTGTTTACAATCATGACCTAACGGAAGCTTAAAATGAACTTTCGAAAAGTTAATCAAAAGAAACCAAACTTCGTTGGTAAGCCGCTTGTCTTCGAACTCTTGTTCAAAATAACCAAGGAAGAAAAGTAAGGGGCAAAACTTGAAGATATTTTTCCTATTCAGTTGAATCAAAACTTGAAGACTAAAAAGCTAATGGCATCCCTCACCATCCTACAAGCAGGAGTTTCAAGAGAGCCATCCTAATATAGAGGCCATTCTTTGCTTGTCTGAAATAGGCAGCTCTCGGGTCCCCATCAACTTCAACTGTAATCTGCATTACATTCAGAGAGAGAAACCAAACAATTGAATCAATAAACATGAGATCTGTTAAGGGGGGCAAAATCATTTCATAATCACATGCTTACCTCGTCAAGTCTAGGCAGAGGATGCATGACCACAGCATGCTTCTGCATCACCTCTAACACATGACTATCCACAATGTACTTGCCTCGAGCTTCTTCATAGAGGTCAATTCTCTCTCCAAATCGTTCACGTTGAATGCGAGTTTGATAGACAACATCACACTTCGAAGCAACTTCCATTAAGTCAGCACTTTCTTCCCATTCAATTTTCCTTGACGTCAAATAATCTTTTATATCATCCTGGAAAAGGAAATATATGAAAGATGAGACTCCAATCTCCTAGATCCCTCGACACACTTCCACAATTACCATAATTACATGAAATCAGCAAAACCGAAAAATGTGCTCGAAGCATTTTCCCAACTAGTTCTATAAAGAACACAAGGAAAAGAGGCAAAATAATGTATAACCTTGTTTGAAATTTACCTTCATTTTCACCACATCAGGAGAGACAAAGTAAATCTTCACATCCTTATACCTGGCGAGCAAGTATGCAAGTGAGCGCACTGTCCTTCCATTAGCAAGATCTCCAACAAGTGCAACTCTAATGCCATCCAATTTTCCTATCTCTCTTTCAATGGTATAGACATCTAAAAGAGCCTGTGGACGCAAGCAAAGCTTTAATTCAATAGGTTAAAGAATTTATTACAACCAAATAAAAATACTGAAAATAACAAGACCCATGCGAGCAGCATGCCTTAGATATGAGATGTGATGTGATGCGATGAGATCATAATGCTACTAACCACATCTGTAATTGACATGGTAATCACTACTACTTACCATATCCTAGAATGGGGATTCCTTTCGTATCAACACATTTTCTTATACCAAAATTGTCCCTCTTATACACTGCAAATCTTTATTTTATTAGGATAGTCCACCTTCTAACACAATTTTGATAAATTAAACTACCTATTCCCCTATAGATTATCCCAAGTGGTGAGGGTGGGTGGGGATGTTCCATCCCTTCCATTGTAACCAAAAAAGGAAAATGAAAACAATGCTGCAAGTTCTCTTGTATGAGATAATGCTCATGTAACAAACATCTAGAACTACACAATTATAAATGAAGGGTTGTAATTTTTGGTTCTTTGTTTTTATTTTTGCAAAAAACTTGATCTCTCTTTTCAATTCTCATCTAGTTCATGGCTTTAAAAAGGGATTTCTACATGACATGCAACATTAAAGTTCACTCTTCCTCAGTTAATTTGTGATGCATTAAAATTTCTCCATACCTGAGTTGGATGTTGTCCAGGACCATCTCCTGCATTGATTACAGGAATGCTGCACCACTCTCAAAGTGCCGCATCACAATAATATCAGAGTAACCCTCAACAGTTCTTATAGTATCTGGAAATCAAGCGCCCATATTATATTACAACCAAATTGTAGCAGAACCATCTCTAGAAACCTGATAGATAAATAAATAAATGAAAGAGCCTACCTTCAAGTGTTTCTCCTTTAGCTGCTGACGAGAACTCCCTTGCATTTTCAGTTGTTAAGACTTCCCCGCCTAACCGTCTCATTGCAGATTCAAAGGAAAGCCTAGTTCTTGTGGAGGGTTCATAGAAGAGAGTAGCCATAAGATAACCCTTAAGAATTTGGCTTCCTGGTGAATTCTTTTCAATCTTCTCCATATCTCGTGCAACCTTAAATATAGCACTGAGAAGATCTCTATCAAATTGTTGAGCTTCAATCACATCAGTAAGTTGAAATTTCTTCCCCACTGAAAAGGAAGGTAAATTTTCAATCTTCAATGCCCGGCATAAAAACCCATTCTTTTGTGAGAATTTCTCATTTTGTCCAAATTCTGATGATCTCTCATTGGGAAACAACCGTGAATGTGTGAGGTACTTTGAGTTGGAGTGACCGGATTGTTTACGGATAAAGTTTGAATATTTGCAATTGAACTCTTTGTAGCACAAATTTGTATTTTGAAACGACATGAACCCTTGGAATGAAGTTGAAAATAGTGATGATGAAGCTGCCATCTCAGCAATTTCAAGCCTCTGTATATATCAAGATGAACAAGATAAAAACTGGAAAATTAATTGCATAAAACCTGCCGTTCCGCAGGGCTGAGTCGGCACCCAGCTTCAGAAAGTTTTCCGAAACAGCTCTTACCAAATCTGAGGCAGCTCCAGCACCGCGAGACCAAAGGACCCAGCTCCAGCACCGCGAGACCAAAATACCCAGCCCCCCTATCGACTAAACCCAGATCCAAAAAAGACACCTGGAAGAAGGGGAAACACCGGGCTCAATATCAAACTCTTGCCTTGCCCGAAGCTCAGCTCTAAACTATGCCAAAACTCCAAATCTTGCTGAATACCCAATTCCCAGCTCCAAATAATACCCACCGAAGGTCTAGCTGAACACAAGACGCGGCTTACCCTTGCTTCCTAGCCCTCTTGCCGAACCCAGCTGCGGTTCCTAGCTAAAAGATACAATAGGCAGAAACGGGGGGCTTTTAGAGCATTGGCAGCAAAGGGCCCAAGGGGAGGGTTGGGGGGAACCCAAAATGTCGTTTCCAGTAACAAGAAGCTGCCAGGGCAAACAGTGGGGCCCACAAACCTGGGCAAGTCCGAGGGGGAGGCTGGCCCGAGCTCCAGCCTGCGGGCTGTGATGATGTCAACGCTGCTGTTTAAATTTTTTTAAAGCTGGCCCGTGCAATACACGGGCCCGGTTTAAAAAAAATTTGACTCGCGCTACAGTAGCCGCCCAACGGCATGATTCCACGTGTCGCATGCTGGGCCATCCGATCTGCTTTTTAAACTTATCCAACGGTAGCCATTTTTTCGCGAATAAAAAAATCGAAAAAGTAACCCCCAACGGCTCTATGCCACGTGGAAGCTCCTGAGCTCTCCGATTAGTTTTTTCCAGCAATCCAACGGCAGGCAATTTTTTGCCCAAAAAAAAAAAAGAAAAAAAATCGGAAAAAGTTTAAAAGAATACGAAAAAAATACTGAATTTTTTTTTCTATAAATACCAACCAATACTCTTCACTTTTAACACCAACTCTTCATACATTTTCTTCTCATTCTACTATTTTTCACTTTCTAGTCAAATTTTTTTCACTTTCAAGTTGTTTTTTTCTCTCTTTCAAGTTGTTTTTTTTCTCTATCATATTATGGGTTCTTCTAGTGAAACCGGAGGAGGGGCATGGAGCATGACGGAAGATATTAGCTTGTGTGAGGCTTG